TGTTTCTACTCCATTTTTATCTCGTTTACTGCACCTATCGAAGCCTCCTACATACAGAAACTCCCATTTCTCGTGTCCTCTTATCCAGCCTGTTACGTGTCCTACTTTTACATATATCTAATGCTCTGTTGTTTTCCCTGTAGGCCCGCTCTACTACGATTTGAAATTTTTCTTCATCTTATCTATTCTCTGCTTTATCTCAACAGTCTTCTGCTCTTTGTTTGCTACCTACTCTGTTCTATCTCAAACAAAAAAACCGCCCCTCTGTAGCGACTGTTGCTTTCTCCTCTTTCTATTTTCTACGGATGTATTCTGTGCTACTTCCACTCCCTGTTTGTGTCTTCTTTTCCATTCTTTTGCTTATGTTTTTGCTTTCGTATTGTCTTGCTTGTTGCTGAAAGGCCTCATTTCCTGTAATTGCCTTTCCTCTAATCATCAATCTCACCTTTCCTGTATTTCCTTTTCCTGCTGTTATCTCATCTATAACACATCAATTGCCTATCCTATCCTTTGTTAATTTAATTTCTATACTACTCTACCATTATCTATTGTTCCCCTGAATTGTTTGCGCTGTAAGAGGCCTCTTACTTATCTTCCTGTGACAGGAAAGTAGCTAGAAGACCCCCCGTTGCTGTTATCTCTTAGTGTTGTATTTACTGTGTTCGAAGCTGGCTTTAGAAGTAAACAATAACTTAGGGCCTCTCTTCAATCTAAAAAAAAAAGTCAATTGTCCGGAATTATTTAATAGAAGACGTGAGGCCTTAGATTATACGTTTAAATCCAACTCCAGCTATGTTGTAATCGTCATAAACCCTAACTTTTAAGTGCTGTTCCTCCTCTATCCCCCTTCACTTGGGACGTAGCTTCTTTGTGTGACTCCTTTCTCTCATCCCCATTATTACTATCGCGATTCATCTGTCCCTGCACCCCTAGTAATACTAGATGCCCTCCTGTGATAGAAAAGTAACTCGAGACAATGTCAAATTATGAACTTGCTTAGGGCATCGGGGCACCAAATCGAAATAAATGTATATTAAATTCCATTTATAAATATTAAAGGAGCTCGAAATTAACGCTTAGGGCCTCCGGATGCTTCTGTAACATTCCACAATGTTGATTCTTCACTTTAAATGCCCCCTTTTCTGATAACTGCTAATTTGCAGACCCGTCTTGAAGGGGTGCCACCAATAAAACCGTAAAAACGAGCATTTGGGCCGACATTTTTACTCGTTTAACGGTTTTATTAATGTATTTTTATGGCTTTTAGGCCTCACATGTGTTAAAGGTTCGGGCCTCAGTTCACCTCTAAGGCGTAGAACTGATTTTTAAAGCGTGTTCAGTCTCTCGCCATTGTTGCAAATGGCCGTTGTTTGGAGTTTATTTTTATATACTGTACTTTTGTTGACCCGAAAGAAAATGGCGGCCGTGATTTCCTGTCTTTTCTTCTTATTTAAAGTGAGTGGCAGTTTAAAAATGGCCGTCGCTTAGAGATGGCCGTTGCTGGGAGGTTGGAAAGTATTTATTCCTCCTCTATCCTTCCTATTCTAAGAGAATAACAGTGAAAAATAGAGGCAGTAAATGGGGTTATCTGGTCTTCCTCTCACTTCCTACCGTTTAATCCTCCATTTTATCCTTCCAGACCAGGTTACGCTGCTCTTATCCTTTGGCATATACAAGTACGAAGCGTGGCATGGTAACGAATCCCCGAGGAATGCAATACGCAACCGAAAATAGCGCGAAAAAATGGCTATTACTCACTGTTAACAGCGAGTTACTTCATTAGTTAAACCCCCTGATTACTCACAGTCGTAACGGGGTCGCAGTGGCGCCTTACTTTCTCCTGTTGACATAACTAATTTTAATCCTCGCCCATAAATACACGTGTTTACAGCGATTACGTAAAAAATCCGGCGGAATTTTTAATATAAAAAGCCATTTTTTTCCGGTAGCCATCTTTTTTTAGAACAATTTCATATATTTAGACCGCAGTGATCGATTTACTAATTTAATCAATTTTTTCGAAATTCGTTTTACAATTTACGCTTCTTTTCCAGTAATTCGCAGGAGCGGATGTAATTTAGTAATTTAGCACCATTTTTAGCCAATAATATCTTGTTAATTCTTAAATAAATGGCCATCAATGCTTACATATCGATCGGCGGTAACCCATTCCTAGCCATTTTATCACTAATTTTGGTTGTTAATTAACTTTTGATAGGTTTTATTACGTAGTTAAACGTATTTAAAACGTATAGGATTGTGTTTTGTGAATTTATATACGCAATAAAATAACTAAGGTTTAAACTTAGTAACGTTTATTATTAAGTAGGCATCAATTCCTGTATAAAACGAACTTTGATCGAGTTATTTCTGGCATAATTTCTACACTATTTACTCGATCTCGCTAAACGCTTCGATTACGTGCGAAGTTCTTAAAAAATTATACGAAATTATTTTAATTTAATAACAATTATTCGATTTTGAAATTCCCACACCAGCAAAGATTATTCGGCGTTATGACGCAATGTCACGTGACGGCCAACAAATTAATTAACGTTATATACGAATTAAATTGTCGTTATTATTATTATTATCAGAAAATGTCCGTAAATAATTTTTTTTTATTTAACTTCTAACGGCTTTTTAATTTAAAATACGTCATATTTTTTTTTAAGTGACGCATGCGTAATCGATTATAGAAGCAGACGTTGTTTACAAAATTGAAACGAGATTTGAGAAATCGTCGAATTCGATAAGTTGTTATTTATAAATAATCGGAAATTACGAAAAAAAAAATTGTTTATATATTGTGCAAGTTATTAAAACGTAATTTAATTTTTACATAATTATATTTCAAAATTTCGAAAGATTACGTCATTTTTATTATGTCACGCGATAACGTATTATTGTTTTCTGCCCCCCCTCGTACTTAAATTTCGACTATCGTCTGTTTTATTATTTAAATAAATTTAAAAAGTAACAAATTTATATTATTATTATTTCTTACGTTATTTTAAGTAATAAAAAAATATATATATTCTCGGTAAGAAAACAAACATCCATCAATTCGGGGAATAGTTTTGTATGATTGATACCGTTAGGTGGAAGAATCGGGTTTCCAGAAAATACATTTATTGCATTAAAGAATGAAAAATTTTTCTTAGAAATTAAATATTTCTATAAAATATTCAAGACTTTTTAGAATTTAATATAACTCGATGATTATTTTACTATATTTTAAACGATTTTTATTTATTTTTTTGCCTGATATATATTAACACCACTTATGTGTCAATTGCGCCATACTTCGGCTTTTGAAGGATTTTAATGCCAAAAATTTAAATTAGCGAGTAAAATTTAATTACGATTGTTGTCGACGTAAGCAAAACGTATTATTATTAACCTTNTTGTAAGAAATCTTGGCCATTTTAGTTAATAAGTGTGATTATTTCTTTATAAAATAGTTTGTTTTGATTTAGCCAAAATGCTTTTATAGAATAAAGACCAAAATATGAAACGGTTTCTTTCAATTCTTTGTTCTTTGGGCATTAAGAGACCTCTTATCGTGCCACTGTGGGTTTGACCAGGCCTATAATAGGGCATTCAAGTTGTGAGTGATGAGGCCAAAAGTATTTAGATCAAAAACTAGCCACAGAAATTTCTGAGGATCTCATCTAGTCTCAAACCTAATCTAATCTAGTCCCAGAGCAGCAGGCTAATGTCTTTATTGTCTCAGCTAATCAGAACTATTTTTACAGTATTTTTAGAACAACTCCTTAAAATTTTTTCTTCTCATTGTTTAATTTTAATATATTAACCTATGTAATTTTGATTTTTAATGTAAAAGCTAACAGCATTACTAACATAGTCATTATTCATCAAAAGTTAAGTGTATAATGTTTAAAAAAGCATAAATTATCAATTAATATGCAGGATTTTCTGCATAACATCAAAAGTTAAGTGCGTATCATATTAATTATATTATTTTTAAGGTTAAATTCTTCAAAGAGGATTTATTTTTTTGCCTGATATATATTAACACCACTTATGTGTCAATTGCGCCATACTTCGGCTTTTGAAGGATTTTAATGCCAAAAATTTAAATTAGCGAGTAAAATTTAATTACGATTGTTGTCGACGTAAGCAAAACGTATTATTATTAACCTTTACGTAAGAGTTAATTATACGAGTGGTAAGCCTTTATTTTTTAATGAACAATCAAAAAAAAAATCTCATATCGAATGCCGAGCACCGGGGGAGTTGGGATTAATATTTTATACCGTGCGACACGGTAAAAAAAAAGGTGTTGCAAAATATACTCGTTTACGCTTTGAATAAACGTACGAATATTTTTTCCGATAAACGATTTTAAATTTTTCATAAATTTAAAACCGTTTGCCGACATTAAAAGCTCGTAAAATCGGTTTTTCGAGTCGTAAAATTTACTTACACATACACAGTTTGGGTTTAGATTTGCGAGAGGTCCTAGACTTTCCAGGTTCTTTCTATATAAATCTGTACAATGTATAACGCGCGTATCATGCGGCATTTCATATTGTACAAGATGCAGTAGTCTTGTTAGCGTTGTACGTGTAACATTTCATACTGTACAAGATGCAGCGGCTTTTCTAGAGTTAGTTTTGGAATTCTAGCCCAGGAATATGATCCAGGGCCTTGCTAATATAGGCTTTCATGTCCAGGACTAAAAACTGACCACCCGAGGCCGTATGCCAAAGCCTAGTACTTACGAATTACAATCATTCTTGTACACTTAAACTTCACAACCACGCTAGAGAACTATTGAAAAGCAGCGAATTATACTGAAAATTTGATACGTAAGATAGAAAGTTGCGCCTTACAACCTTGTAATATATATATAGGCCTATATATGTGTTTAACGTTTTATATCAGGATAGTTCGGTTTATATGAAGTTCGTATTCGATATCCTTGAGAGAAAATAAAACATTATTGAATATTTTTCATTCATAATTCATTTCAGGGATCGTCAAACCGGAGAAAACGAGAAAACCGAAGGTCGTCCAACTGATAACAAGCTAGAAAAGAAATTTTTTCTTTATCGGACAATACCAACGTTTTAGGCTAAGTTCATCGGCTTCAACAAATGTAAATAAATAAATAAAAAATTATCTTATAAATTTGAAATTTATTTTGATATATAAATAATTTTATTTTCGTATTTTTAGGGATATTTTGCATACATTGTATAGGTTATCCTTTCTACGTTTCTCATTGCCGTTTAGTATTGAAGTATACAACGGGTTCGGTGAGTGGTTTTCCTTGTAAAAACCTTGGTTATCACTAAGAACGTGTTTATATAAAGCATTTGTGTTGTTTGACCTTCCTCTTCATGACCATCTTATTAAACTGCTTAAGAATTATCGAGTTATACGCGATCAAACAGAATTTAAATGTAAATTTTGAATAATAACGGTAGTAATAATAATTAATAATATTAACATAACTTATCTGTAATGAACACTAATATAATCTTCATATCTGTAGTCTTTACAGAAAAAGCAAATAATAACAAGGTGTTATAACAAAACTCTCCTTTTAAAGAAACTTTGCCAAAAGTATAGTTTGCAATGATCTGATGCAAATGATTCGAAATAATTTGCAATGAAAATACAAATTTCAAAGATTTTGAAGAGTGATAAATTATAATTACTGAATTTTCATTAATTTTCAGGTGGACATCCAGTATTCTGATTTGATCAATTTTCAGTTGCTAGATCAAGTTATCTCTGAAACTCTTCGCCTTTCGCCATTTCCCATAGTGTAAAATTCATTATAAATTTATAATGTTAAATATAAAATATAATAAATATATAATCCGTTAATATTTTTATACGTAGAAGTGTTAATCGAGTGTGTGCAGAAGATTATCGTTATAAAAACATCACCATTCCAAAAGGTTGTACGATAGCTATTCCAATACAAGTTTTGCAAAATGATCCAGCTTATTGGATTGAACCTGATAAGTTTAATCCTTACAGGTAATATAGTAATTATAATTGGATTATTTTTATATCTGCTTTATTAACAAATTTTGAAATTGCAATTATAAAAAAATTTCGGTGATTTTAGATTTTCTTTTGAGGAACAGCAGAAAATTGATTCTGTCATTTACCAACCATTCGGAGCAGGGCAAAGAATTTGTATAGCACAGAGATTAGCAAAAACTATAATGAAATTAGTATTGGCAAATCTCATACGATCATTTAAATTAGAAGAATATAGAGACGATGTAAGCAATGGCAATATTTCTATTGTAAATATATTGCGTGAAAATAGCTTACATTTAAATATGACGTTTTCTTCTTTCATAGAATACTTTCTGTTTCGTAATTAAAAGTTTTATGAAATTAAATTTGTAAATGTTTTCGTGAATTTTATTTTTAATACCTTTTATTTGTATATTTTTTGTCGCAAATAACTTGATTTTATTTACAGGAAAATAATAGAGAGCACACTCAATTATTCACTTATACAATCAATAGAATAATGGTGAAAGCAACTCCATCAGATACCTGATTGTCGACAATACTATACGTTTTCAATGTTAAACACAAATAATAATTAACAAAGTATGTAAATTTAATAACTTNTTATTACATTAAAAATTATAAAATGCAGTGACATTTCTTCATCGGTTGATTATAACTTTGTCGGATTTAACCTGTACTTCACCTTACAAAGAAGGGGATGGAAAAATCGATGTTACCTGACTTGGTCCAGCTGGTGCACAAGTAGCTGTGTAACTTTCCTGCCTGAGAATCATTTCCAAGAATTACTACAAATTACCGAGTTACCAATTTAAAAAAAATACAAGAATTTTAATTTAATTTTTATAAAAAGTCTATACTTTAGGGGAGGAAAATGCATACACTGATTTCCTCTCTCTTTTTTTTTACGCTCTTAGTAACCGCTTCGTTTTGTGGGAAATTCATCACAGTATCTGGAATTATCTTTTTGCTCGCTGTATATCGATAGTAAATGGGTTTTGTTGATGAAGTCAGATCAATGAAATTCTACCGATGACGCTTTAAAAAAAAAATAAAAAAAATAGAGATTGCGATATCATATATCATTGCATAAAAACCAATTTGAAGCTTCTCTCGGGAGCGACAGAAAAAAAAAACCGAAGAAATAAAAAAATAAATTCACTTTGAAAAATCCGAAAATAATGAATACTTTAAAACCTATAATATTTGGAAGATTTATTTTACTTCCATTCTGATGTCTATGAAATGTTATCATAAAAATATTAGCCAATCAGAAGTCTTANTAGTATTGGCAAATCTCATACGATCATTTAAATTAGAAGAATATAGAGACGATGTAAGCAATGGCAATATTTCTATTGTAAATATATTGCGTGAAAATACCTTACATTTAAATATGACGTTTTCTTCTTTCATAGAATACTTTCTGTTTCGTAATTAAAAGTTTTATGAAATTAAATTTGTAAATGTTTTCGTGAATTTTATTTTTAATGCCTTTTATTTGTATTTTTAAGGTACGTCATGTGCTGTTTGTATATCTGTATATTTTGGATTTATGTGTCGAGTTGTTGTGTGTAAAAATGGGTTTATATATTTTAGTTAACTGAAGAGGGCAAATGAGGCCCGAAACGTGTGTAAACGTGTATCAACGAAAAGTGAAATAAATAAGTGAATTGTGCAAAGTGAACGTTATTATGCTACATTGCGTTTATAGAACAAATAAAAAGAACGACACGGTTTCAAAATACGGTATAATGGAAGAGGTAAGTATTTTAACTTTCGGAATAAAGTAGCAAAAGAATATTTTAAACGTATAATATAATATTCAACTTTTCATGTAGAGAAACAGATGCACAGAAGAATGGCTANCAATTTGAAGCTTCTCTCGGGAGCGACAGAAAAAAAAAACCGAAGAAATAAAAAAATAAATTCACTTTGAAAAATCCGAAAATAATGAATACTTTAAAACCTATAATATTTGGAAGATTTATTTTACTTCCATTCTGATGTCTATGAAATGTTATCATAAAAATATTAGCCAATCAGAAGTCTTATTCTCAAAACTCTGCCGGGGATATGATTAATCGATATTTAAATATTAAATTTAATGAATAAAAATATATTTGCATGAAAAATTTATTTTTCTATTAAATAAAATGAATTTCAAGAAATAAAATTCTAATTGATTTTTAATTTTTTTTTCATTCGGCGAGAAATTAATTACGCATATTTTTTTTAATAGTCGTCGATTTTATTGTCTTATTAAACTATTTTTTTGAAGTCGTCTTCGTAAATTTTCGGTATGTTTACCTAGCAACACGGGCCTTCTATTATCCATAAATTTTGGTATATTTTTAAAGCGGTTCGTCTTCTAAATGGTTCATATGCGGCCTAACTTATACATCATTTGTAACAATTTTAATTAGTCATAGAAGTCGTGAATCATATTTAACAGAAGCAGAATCAAAACAGGAAAATGTGGGTCTACACGAAATAAAAACAGATAATAAATTAATTGCTGTGGCAGGGTTGTTGGAACAAAGAAGACGTTTGATACAGTGTTTTACTGGCATAGATAACGCGTAAATCACTTTACAATAAATTCGGTATATTTTATTACATTCGTAATCCTCTTTTTTAAAAAAAGAAAACAAAAACCGAATCCTTCGATAGCAGAATCTCGGCTCTCGATGGAAGACGGCTTTACGTGGAAAAAAAAGAATCGAAGCGGCGTGTGTAAGGAAAGCCGCACACCAATACTCTATTTACCCTTCACGCAATAACACGGGCACGTGGTCCTCCAGCTGTCAACGGTCGCTTTCCTGCGAACAAAGTGCCAGACAAAGCAATCCCGCCAACCGCCGAGGTCCTCGTCCAGGCATGACCTTCCTCCCTACAAATTGGCAACAGTAGACGAGTCATAACAATTCTCACCGGACGTAACTATATTTAATTGCCATCTGCTTCGTACAATTTCGCCAAACGTAAAATCAAACAGCCGTCGTCGTCTCTAAAGGCTTTGAAAGAAAAAAATAAAAAATAAAAGAAAAAAAAATTTTTTTTATATATATTCTCTTTTGTTTGTACGCGAGGAGGCCAATGTCCTTGAAAAGATCGTCCTGGTAAAGGAGAGAGGCGATTGGATAAGAGCCTAGCAACCACGACGCATGCGTAATCATTTAGTTGTTTCCGTCGTCTGTTGTCCAGCTGAGTAGGCTTAGGCGAGTCAAAACAAAAAAAGGACGCATCGATGCAAGTAAGTAAGACGTTAAATAAACTCGCTCCCGTCGAGTAAAATGACATAGATTAAGTTTAATAACGTATAAAGTCGAAGTCGACGTATATTTCACGTTATTTCGGCACTAAATAAAGACGTCCGAGGCTTAAGATGAAGGCTTAGTTACGCGTCCTTTGTCTTCTGCGTTGATGGCTTTCTAGGACTTATAACGTCGTTTATCGACGTTATAAGCGTAATCGTCGCTTTATAAACGTCTATTCGGATGGGTTTAATGCGTGTTATGCTTTATATAACGATAAATGGCAAGATTTGTTGATATCCTTTGTTAGGCTTAAGGATCTCGTGCGATGCCGTCTCGTGCAACGTTCCGTAAACAGCTGATCGGCTGCTATGCCTTTGGAGATAAATTTGAAATGTCAATTCTGCATCGTCTCGTAATGCGCTTAAAATCTATAAAATTAAGCTTTACTCGGCTAATTTTTTAACCTTTCTGCGCTTCTCTCCGTTGTTGTGGTTGTTTTCTTTTTTTTATTTTATTTTTATTATTATTATTTTTTTCTTCCCTTGTTCCTGTTGTGTTTACAACTCGTCCTGCCTGTCCCCCATACGTGCTTCGATACGTATTGCGAAATTACTCGTGAATTTACGTTAAAAACAATGCAAATATTTAAAATTACCATACTGTTTATACCGGCAGAGTGTTATAGATTGGCGGGGGCCCTTCGAATTTCAATTATGGGGCCCCGCGCTTCTGTTCGGGGAATTTATTTCGGGATGTGTTTTCTTATATATTAGATTAGTTCGAGGCCTCCTGTCGAGGGGCCTTCCGGAAATTGTCCTGATTTAGGATGCTGTTTACTCAAAAAATTTAAATTGTTTTACTGTAAAACTTGATATTTTTTATCCTTAAAATAATTATTTTTAGATCACCTTTCTTTGTTTACGGTCTCAAATGCTTTCGTTTTAAAACTCGAAATGTGTAATTTTATGTGTAAAAACAGATTAGGAGACTCTCATATATTTATTATAGCTGGGGTCCTGCGTACGGTGTTTGACTTCTATTCGCGGAATGTATTTTCTTATAATACGTTGATTCGAGGTCTCTTGTCGGGGCCTCCGAAAAATTGCCTTTCTTGCCTGTAGGATGACGCGCCACTGCTGTTTTTTAAAGTTTTTGCTATAAAACGCGATATTTTTTTTATCATTAAAATAATCTATTTCTACAAAATTTGATAAATTTAATAGTCTTAGATTACCTTTCTTTGTTTACGATCTCAAATGCTTTCGTTTTAGAACTCGGGAATGTGTAATTTTATATGTAAAAACAGATTAGGAGACTCTCTTATATATTTATATATGCGGTAATCTGTTGTTATTCTCAGTTTTGATTAATATTTATCATATATATCCTATATATAGCATAGATTTAATCTAAGTGATTAAATTTTAAATTATTTAACACGTAAAAATATATATTAAATGGCAAATATATCGAAATTTTAGGAATTACGTGCAAAGAAAACATCTCTAAAGTATTTTCAAATAAGCCTAGAATGTGATGAAATGTAAATTACTGTAGTGTGTTATTGCGGTAACTTAGTGTTACGATGCACTTCTATAATGATAAACTAACATTATTTAATTTTATAAAAAGAATTACAAATATAAAAGTTTGTTGTATTGTGAAGTAGTCATAGTTTGAACTACGATTTTTATCTCGCGTTAAATATATATATTGAGTAATCGCTTGTAATATAAATGCTAGATAAAATATGATTCAATTATTATAAATTGATTCTAAATACTGCGTTAGTAGATATATCGGAAAAGTAATTTCGGAAATAGACGGCGATATAATTTTAATGGCAAAAATATAAATTACATATTTCTCGATTGCAATCGAACAATGAAATACAAATCCTAGCGGTTCCATTTCGTAATTTTCCTATCGTAAGTAGGAAGTAAATCCTCAATTTTATTGTGTGTGGAAAACAATGCTAGTTGTAATGTTAAAATACATATTATCAGATTATAGTAAGTTAAAATATTATTTATTTTTTTTTTTAAGGAAGTTCCTAGTTAATGCTTTATATATAATAATAATTAATATTTAACAGAAGCTCCAAAGGAAAATTTTAATTTTTATTTATTTTTGATCTAATAATATATTAAATATAGAAGTTTTGTTTTGTTGTAATTATTTTATTAATTGCTTTTATTTAAATTTAATATATTTAATCTATTCATGTTTATGTATCTGAAATGTAATTTGTTGTCTCACGACAGCTTTTCTCATAATGTTTTTTTCTAACAGCTTATAACATTGGAACATAATTGCATTCACAACAGTCTTAAAAGCCAAATTTTGGTATGTAAATCACTTTAGTATATTCAATCAAATACTTCTCTAAGGAAAAAAAAAAAACTTAATAACTATGACTACCAGTAAAAATAGTTTATACTGATTCAAATGCAGATGTTTCGTGAAAAATTCTAGTATAGATTTTGGTTTTGTGATTCAGTAATAAAGTATTAAAAATCGAAGTTTTATATACAAAACAGATGGATTTCGTTATAGAAATTGGCATTTTTTTTAAAAAATAAATGTTAATTTTTTAAAAATTGTTTACGGATTTAAATTCGGAAAAAAATCGCTTGATCATTTTATTTAAAAAACGATTTCATTGTTATTAGTTTTAATTTTTCTTAGATTAAAATATATCTAGTTACTAATAAAGCTAATTAAATATATAATTATTATATATGTTCTGCAAATAATTGTAAGAAATCTTGGCCATTTTAGTTAATAAGTGTGATTATTTCTTTATAAAATAGTTTGTTTTGATTTAGCCAAAATGCTTTTATAGAATAAAGACCAAAATATGAAACGGTTTCTTTCAATTCTTTGTTCTTTGGGCATTAAGAGACCTCTTATCGTGCCACTGTGGGTTTGACCAGGCCTATAATAGGGCATTCAAGTTGTGAGTGATGAGGCCAAAAGTATTTAGATCAAAAACTAGCCACAGAAATTTCTGAGGATCTCATCTAGTCTCAAACCTAATCTAATCTAGTCCCAGAGCAGCAGGCTAATGTCTTTATTGTCTCAGCTAATCAGAACTATTTTTACAGTATTTTTAGAACAACTCCTTAAAATTTTTTCTTCTCATTGTTTAATTTTAATATATTAACCTATGTAATTTTGATTTTTAATGTAAAAGCTAACAGCATTACTAACATAGTCATTATTCATCAAAAGTTAAGTGTATAATGTTTAAAAAAGCATAAATTATCAATTAATATGCAGGATTTTCTGCATAACATCAAAAGTTAAGTGCGTATCATATTAATTATATTATTTTTAAGGTTAAATTCTTCAAAGAGGATAAAAGTTTATTGTCATTTTCTTAAACTGTATCATTTTGTAACTTAAATATTGGCAAAAACTTGAAAAATATATCAATACAAAGATGGTAGGATATTACCATTTTTATTAATTAATTTTTTTATCAAGCATTGAATGTTATAAAGAATGTAATTTATATATTGGGATATCGAAAGTGTCGTTATTTAAATTTAAAGAAAATAAGAAATTTTCTTATTGCATATTAAACAAAATGGTCTTTTCAATTGCTTATAATTATTATTGCAGTACATTCTTTATTTATTTAAGTACAATTAGGAATATAAAATGTCAAATATTACCATAATTTGCATTCGGATTATTTTAAAATTGAGTAATTAGTTAAGGAAACTAGAAAATAAACAAATTTGTTATTTATGTACTGTAGATTTTTCTGCTATAATAAATTTTTGCTATTTTATAGAATAATAAACATTAGTTGTACATTACTTTTAAATAGACTTTGAATTATTAAATATAAATAATAAATAAATTAATAATCAGAACTTTGATAAGTTATTCACAGAATGAATGTATCTAAATTGTATTTGCGTGATTTATTTGACGAAAATATAGTATTAAAATTTCAGCTGAATTTTTCATTTGAATATTTTATCTTCAATAATATCTTGGATAAACAAATTCACTGTTTGTCAAGCAGCGATTATTTTTTTTTTTTTCATTTTTAAAAGATATTTTTTCAAAAATAACTCTAGAAAAGAATTAGAAATTTGTGTTATTTTTAGCAAATTTGTTTAATGAATAAGTGAATGCATTTATAATAAATTTTTTATAATCAAAATTAGCTTGTAATGGCATTAATTGAATAACATTTGGCATAGCGGAAATTTTTTACCCTTTATTTCTTATTAGATTTTTGAATTAAAATTGTTTTTAAACTTGAAAAATATATCAATACAAAGATGGTAGGATATTACCATTTTTATTAATTAATTTTTTTATCAAGCATTGAATGTTATAAAGAATGTAATTTATATATTGGGATATCGAAAGTGTCGTTATTTAAATTTAAAGAAAATAAGAAATTTTCTTATTGCATATTAAACAAAATGGTCTTTTCAATTGCTTATAATTATTATTGCAGTACATTCTTTATTTATTTAAGTACAATTAGGAATATAAAATGTCAAATATTACCATAATTTGCATTCGGATTATTTTAAAATTGAGTAATTAGTTAAGGAAACTAGAAAATAAACAAATTTGTTATTTATGTACTGTAGATTTTTCTGCTATAATAAATTTTTGCTATTTTATAGAATAATAAACATTAGTTGTACATTACTTTTAAATAGACTTTGAATTATTAAATATAAATAATAAATAAATTAATAATCAGAACTTTGATAAGTTATTCACAGAATGAATGTATCTAAATTGTATTTGCGTGATTTATTTGACGAAAATATAGTATTAAAATTTCAGCTGAATTTTTCATTTGAATATTTTATCTTCAATAATATCTTGGATAAACAAATTCACTGTTTGTCAAGCAGCGATTATTTTTTTTTTTTTCATTTTTAAAAGATATTTTTTCAAAAATAACTCTAGAAAAGAATTAGAAATTTGTGTTATTTTTAGCAAATTTGTTTAATGAATAAGTGAATGCATTTATAATAAATTTTTTATAATCAAAATTAGCTTGTAATGGCATTAATTGAATAACATTTGGCATAGCGGAAATTTTTTACCCTTTATTTCTTATTAGATTTTTGAATTAAAATTGTTTTTAAACTTGAAAAATATTTTGAAATGAAAGAATATCATCTGCCAGATAAAAAAATTGAGGCTCCATGCAAATTAATGATGCGAGTCTCCCATCGACGGTGATTACGAAGAAAGTTACGATCCTGTTACGCAAGACACAGAGGAGAGTTATTCGGTACGTAGTTGACAGATTCGCCTTTGTCTTTGATAAATTATGCATGAATATTGCCAATTAAACACAATCTATTGAACTTTATCGTTAATTGAAAAATATGCTCTAATTTTTGTACTGCAAGTTTTCGGTAATGTATAAATAAATAAATTCAGTAATTGAAATTAAGTTAAAAGCACTTATTCCGTAAATTACGAAGGAAACTGATGATTGCATAATATTTAAAAGATAAATTATCGAAGTAAATGACACAAAAATAATTTTTGCACAACAGAAATGATGCAAATTTGGTTAGAACTTTGCTTTAGATAAAATTTCTGCTTGATGCAGATAATAATGTGTAAAAATAAAGAAGACAAACGAACTTTATCTATCGTGATTGCTTAGAAAAACATTCATCCTTTGTTCTATGGAATAATCCAATGTCTTTGGCCTCAAACTGGTTTTTGTCAGAGAATCTTTTGTAATCACTGGAGAGACAATATTTTGATGATTCATCAAAACATCAACGCAGAATAGAGCTGATAATGATTATTTTACAGTTTTAAAAGAGAACGTAATTGCTGTATTTTATAATAAGAATATTGTAATTTATACTTTCTAATCTTTTCTACTTTTATGAAGAGCAGCTATCTTTAATACACATAAATATAGCATAAATTATAAAACTTCAAATTTTTAAATGAAATTATTAAATATTACTTCAAATTTTTGAACTATTAGAGTTAATATCTATTTTATTTTTTGTATTATTACGCTTAAATATCAATATAAATGTTTGTTTTGATTATATTAAATTATTAATAGTGTAATTCGTAAGGTAAGTTATTTAATAATTACGTCGTCTATGGAACGATTATGTTAGGCATCAAATTCTTTTTATTTGTCTAAAGTAGGTCATGAAATGGTTCATGTATATGTTAGAAGTAAAACTAAAATTATATATTTTGTGATAAATTCTTTTTAAAATAAAGCATTTCAGAAATGTGTGATTTTTTTTTTAGTGTGGAGTAAGTTATTCAGTGAGTTTTATTTTGACAATTTGATACTCTATTTTAATGTAAAATAACTATAATTATTAATTAATTAATGTTTTGTATGTTATATGATTAATTTAGTTAATTTTAATTGAAGTGTATCTTTTTGTTTACAAAGTTTCATTAAAATATTTTAGGGAAAGAAGAAAGAAAATATTTGATGTTTGATATTATGAATAAAAATTGTGATAGTGAAGTTAATATAGTGTGATATCTACCTACATATCTGGAGTTGTGATCATCGTAGTTTCCTTCTTCGACTATTTTGTGCTCGAACAGAAATCGATTGGTGGTACATTAAGAATATTATCAGATGTGCTGATACTTAGCTATTGGGCAGTTTGGATGTAAGGCCTTTACCACCATGGTGAAAACTTTCCAGGCTTATTTGCCCAACTGCCACCGCACGTATAGTTGCATTCATTGTCGTGCCCATTTAGCTAATCACGATGAACTTATCTCCAAGGTGAGAGAAAAAAAAAAACAATAAAAATTTTATTTTTCATTACAAGACTGTTTCAGGTATTTAGTTATATTAAATCTTAATATAAATTTTTGCAAATATTCTAACTATTCTTTTGTTCTTGAGGATAATTCTACGTTATGTAAGAATTTAAAATAATAAGGGTTACGGGAGTCTAATCGCTTGCAATGCTTCGGAAAGCACTGTTGACACCAAACAAAACTTGTAACTCTATCGATTGTTTATTATTTTAAATTCTATACAATTTGGAATTATCCTAAAGAAAGAAGAAATTTATTTAACAACACTATATTATATATTTTATAATTGGAATGAAAGAAATTATTACATTAAAAATTATAAAATGCAGTGACATTCAAAGAAACAATTTACTATTATTATTATAATTTTTATTAAGAGATGGATAATTGTAACTTGTGTTCTGAATTCTGTTTCTATGTTTTAAAAAATTAAAAAACATTTTTTCTATTAATATTTGAAGTGGTGTAGGATCAATGAGAATAATAATAGCAAGGCTTTGATGATAATATTTTAAATACTAACAGGAAAATTTTTTTAAAACTGTAATAACATTGAACATTTTTTTCCTTCTACAAATCCAAAAATAGCAATTGTATTTGTATTGAATGACAATGATATATAAAGTTGTCACATGGAACGATATGGGTCGTCTTCAAAGGAATGGACACTTAGGTCAAATATTAAAAAATAAAAAGTAAAGATTATAAATTTCTTTTATACTTTTTTTAATTGAGGAATGCATCTATACTTGTTGTGCATTAATTGTTCGTGAATAGGTAGATAAATTAAAATAAATTATTTAAAATTTAAGCTAATAATTTTCAAAATATGTTGAATTAAAAACAGAAATTTTCTTTAGTCTTTAATTGTTGTTTACCATAATTTTCATGTGTTGTTTTCTGCATTAATCTGTAACTACAGATTGTCCAAAAGTTACTGTGCACTGTGAAATTGTAATAACATTAAAGTTATATATGTGTCATTGCATATGAGACCCATAACTCCTTAACTCGTACAACTCGTGTTTTCTCTTTGTAGGAGATGGCATTACTATTCACTCACAGAAGTTCCAGTTTTTGGAAGACTTATTTGCCAATTTCATAATCTCTCATAGAATCTGCCCGCTAGGTCTCCTGACCTCACTCCCTAAAATTTTGGGGTCTCCAGATGATCGAGAAACTGAAATATTGTATGCAAAATTTCACCTAAATCTTTTCTGCTGTACAGTAACTTTTCGGACACTCTGTAACTGTCATAAAGTTATTAAAGCTAATAATCATTTTATGATTATTTTAAAAGTATTGTAAAATTATCATATATCTAATTTAAAAATTAAGTTTTTGACTATTAGAAATTAAAATTTAAATCCAATTTATTAAATTGCATCTTCTAAATAGTAAAGCGCAACTGAAAGTTGAAAAAACTCATAGATAGTACCCTATAATAGTAAGTGGACTGTCCATCGGAGAAAGCCAAGGCTTCTTGTAAACTGAAAAATTGTACATTTTATTCAACATCATCACTCTTACTTTATGTTAAACTAAAGTGTGAGTGCTTTATGTTGCTGTTCAAATAAAAAAATGAAAAGTGTTACCAGATTTATTCCATTAATAGTCAATCTTGAATAATAATTGCATTCAATTCCCAAAGAAAAAGAATTTGAATAATAGTTGCCCTGTAATAAATAGCATAGTTGCAGGCCGAAAAAAGTCATAGAAAGCATGCCATTTATTAGAATATATACAGTTTTTTGCATTAAATCCTTATACCTAACAATATATTTGGTTTACTTAACAATCGTATTTTGTACTAGATAGTTCGATTATTTAAAACAGTATATAATTCTATTTGTAGAATAAAATGATGGAATTCAATGATATTTCCAGCTAACAATTCATTGATTACTTATCGTTATATTTGTATTTGTATACAGGTACACCACTCGAAGTTTTAAAGAGTAAATTGAAATAGGATGGAAGTCGAAATAATTAAAATTGGCAATACAATCAAGTAAATTAGATCAGAACTAATAACATTAAAAAATGTAATGAAAGGAAAATATATATATATATATGCTTAGTAGAACTTAAAAGGAATGTAGAATCTATTCATTGTAATTCTTGTTTACATTTTTATTGAAGAATTATGTAAATTTTAGTGTTTAATATTAACTATAGTTCAAGTAGAATGTCTTTATATTCCATAAGTCATCTAGTTAAAAAAAGAAAGACAATCAAACATGGGTTATTAATATGTTACCTTTCAAATATTTGAATTATTCATCATAGTTACAAACAATAACTATAATAACTTTGTTGTATATTATATGAATAATGGATCAAAATTGATTATAAAATGCCATTTTTATCCATTTCTTTTCACTATTATTTTTAATTGTAGAATCTTTTACAATTGATAGTTCAAAACTTTGCAATTTTAGCAAGAGATTGATGTAATTCAAGTGAGTTTGTATACTAATTGCATATATTTATCAAACTTGAACCGTGATAAATGCTTCTTAGTGTTTTTTAATCCTAATTAAGCACAACTTGACAATACCTTAAGAAAACATCAAAATTTATTTAGAGTAATTGCAACATTCTTATGAGTAAAGCTTTCTCTAAAAGATAACTGTCTTTTCTTCTCAATTTTATATGCATTCATGCAATATATTCATCCAATAACACTCTTAGACTATGGTATTCATATTCTGCAACTAATTATCTTCCACTAACTCTTAACATTTGTTTCCTGTTTCAACTCTGAATTTTCCTGATATTTTTCTTTATCCGCATATCTTCAAAATTATATATCAAGTCCGAGTTTGGCCCGTCCACATTTTATTCTTACAGGAAATTCCCAACCGTGTCATTATGTGCCGAAACTAGTAATTCTCCAAACAAAGAAATCACAAATTTTATAATTTTTTTTCGAACAAATAATACTCCTGCTAGAAAGTAAATTTTGCAAATTGCCTAAAGATAGTATGTGAAAAAATGTGATGTATAAATGCATATATAAAAACTGAAAATTACATGCACAAATATTTGTGTGTTGTTTACTTTTGCTCAGTTGATGCTTGTGTTATTTAATGCCCTTTATTTCCTCTTGTTCCTACAGAAGACAATAGAACGATTCAGGAAAATCCTTACCTGCAGTTGTATGTTTCTTGGAATATTTCTAAAGGTGCTATATAGCATCCAGTTTTAATCTCCAATCTGTTATAGAATACAGCATAGGGAAAGTATGGTGATGGGTCAAATTTTGACCTCTCTTTGTGCACTCTCGGGTTATTACTTGTTCTGGTCTTTACAAAATTTTTTAAACAGTAAGACATTTACTTCAAATGAGGATGTCAAAAATCACTTGGATCAGTTTTTTGTAAGTAAAGATCAAAACTTTTATGACTGTGGGTGGAATCATGCTATTGCCAGAAAGATGGCAACAGATATTTGACCAAAATGGTCAGTATATAATTCAATAAAATATTCATATATTATAAGAAAATTTTTCTTTTTTCCCACAAAAAACGAAATTACTTTTAGAGCAACCCAGTATTAATAAAAATGCTAAATTTAGGAAAAATAATTTAATTGTGGAGTTAACTTCTAACTTGGTAATTTATAAATGTTTGTTGTAAATCATTATATAAGTATCAAAAGCAAAATTTTATTAAAATGTGTAGTGATTTGTAATAAATTTTAACTTGGAACTCCCCTTTATGTCAGATCTGGTTTAACAATTAAGTGGGGCCACACTTAAATTTTTACTCAACATTAGCATTTACAATTCCTTTAAAAACTCACTCTGATCACCAAAATAGGTCATTTAAGTTATATTTTACATTAAGTACAAATTGAAATATTTAACAGTAATCATATCGAACTAGAAGGCTCCGAGACCTTACTTAATTGTAGGTAGCAAAAAACGTGTAAATAACTTCAAATTTTTTTATTTTTGTTAATACATTCGGTCTAAATAAAGCACGATCTGAAGCACCTCTATCAGTCATTTCAGTTGTCGGCACTTACTAAATTAATTCAATTTAAAAATTTGTACTAGCAGAAAGTGTGTACAAATATAAACACATTACTTATAAGCTGTTGAAACTGTAATTAATTTATTTCTAAAGTGCTTTATATGGATATAAGGCTATATAATAAACTAATTATAGATTTAAGTAGGCTTGGAGTTTTAAATTAGATATCGAAGTGTGATTTTAATCAATATTTAGTATGTACTATACATTAATTATTTGGCTTTATGTTATGTCGAGATGAATAAAAATTCTGTTTCTCTCTCTCCTGCTTTTTAAATTTTAGCAATAGTGACAGTCACTTCTATAAATATATCCCTGAAAATGTAATTATACAAAACTACAAGGTAAAATAATTATAAATAAAATTATTATTTTAAGAAAATGACTAATGATACCTTCAAAGGCTGCGGGGTATTTTTACATAGTCATTCGGCAAACAGTTGGAATTAATAATGTTAGGTTGAAAAACAAACTTTCAGATCACACAATTTAGTAAAATGTGAATACTCTTTATCCTTTACGACGAAGATTTCTTCAAATAATGTATTGAATAGAACAAATCTAGTAAAACAAATAACTTACTTTCTTTTGAATATTCAAACATGCATGAATAAAACAATTAAATAAATTTATTCTTATAATAAATAAACCAGATGTTTCTTAATTGTAGGATGGGTCAGTTATGCGACAATTCACACATTTGATTTGGTGAAAGAAAGCGATTTGTTCTGTAAAGCAGATTGCCCGAAGAAGTTTCCATTGTAGAGCAATGAAAGTATTTTGGTATCATCAAGAGTGCAGTTTAAAGCTCACGACTAAAGCCAACAAATAACTGTCCATCATCAAACATACAAAAAACAAGAGTTTAAAGAGTTACAGAAAATTATAAATTACATGTAATCTAAAAATCAGTAAAATAATT